ATGATGTTGTTGTTGTAGTCGATGATGATGATGATTATGTTGTTGTTGATGATGTCGTTGTTGTTGTTGATGATGTGATGTCGTAGCGTTAATGTACCCTCTCGTCATATTTAGATGAATTGAATTTAAACGGCGGTAACTTCGGCTGCTGCTGTGGTTGTTGTCGCTATTTCTGCTTCTGCCGATGTCGTTGTGGCTGTTGTCGATTTTGAGTTTGTGTAGAAGTTCTCGCTTCTTTTTCAACAGATAACCTAAAAACATTAAAAAATCATTAAAACAATGGATCACCACCATTGTACAAACTTCAATGTATGGTGTTGTGAATGCTGGCGTGTGTTAACTCGTACATGCCATTTGGTTAAGTTTTAGCGTTTATTTAAAAACATTTAGCAATTTGACGGTGTATGATTTAATTTGTGTTATATATCTGAAAGAATAAAGAGTGATTAGAAAGTATAAAAACATTTAAAAGATGTCATTTAAAAATTAATCTACAATTTAAACACAAAAAACTTTTGTTTACTTCTTTGTCCGGTTAACTTTTCTTCACATCTCAGACCTTCAAATCCTTTTTTGCACCTATTTTTGATGGAATATTTCCACAGTGAATTGAATAAAATGATAAAAATTGTCATCACACACCCAGAAAATAAACCTCATCTATTCTGAAGTTCTTTGTTGACTAAGATTGAATAATAATTTAGCGTCGGGTGGTGAATATGTACGTCATGTGGTGTGGTGTGGTGGGGTGTGGTGTGGTGTGGTAGGGTGTGGATGTCCCATTCAAATGGAATTCCCTCCCCCAAACAAAACTCACTTGCATGTTTTTCTGTTGAGTTTAGGTATGAAAGTACAAGTTCCACCGTTGATGCAGTAATCCACGTGATCACATGACCTCGTGTGCCCCCTGAACTTTCCAGGGCCTGCCACCGAAGGGGCTGGGGGTAAAAATTTTTTTAATTATTCAAAATTATTTGCCGTTGTTATATTGTTATATTTTTAAGTAATAATTTTAAAATGAATTCAATAAAATATTGTGGTGAATGGATGGAAATGAAAAAAATATGGAAGAATATTGACTTGGTTTAACTTTCACAGTGCTGTTTGCCGTTGCAAAAACTTTGCCATTGTTGAAAGCCTTGCAGGTGTACACACCGACATCTTTCCGACGAATTTTCTTTTTCAGTATCAGCCCGTTTCTGTTTGAAGAGATGAAATTAATTAGATCATTAGTGTGGTGATTGATGACTGATTGGTTATTATTTGGTGGATGCTTTAATATTTTATTCATATTGTTTTGTATGTTCTCTCTCACTCTTTTCTCTCTCTCTTTCTCTCTGTTCTTCTCTCTAATAAAGTATTTTAAATGTTAAATAAATAGTTGAAATATAAGCAACAATTGAATTGAACTAAAACAATTCAACAAAAACAACAACACGATGAGCCCTTGAAATAATACTGGATAATAACTAGTCCGCGAGCAGCTACAACAACAACAACAATTGCTACAACAACAACAACAACAGCAACTACAACATCATCAAAAACAACTACAGCAACAACAACATCAACAACAACAGCAACAACAACAAAAACAACAACATCCTACTTGATCTTTTTTACTCCTCGATACACTATCTCGCCATTATGAAACCAGAAGAGTTGATAATTTTTATTTTCATCGCCGCTGGGGCCAGTCGACAGGTGGCGCTTCTCTTGTCCGGATAGATAACATTTCAGGGTCGCGGGTTCGTTTAGATGCGTGTGGATGGTTTCGCTTGTTGAGAGTATCATTGCTGGTCGCCTGGCTTTTTTCCATGTTAATTATTTTGTTATTGTAATAATATTACTACAAATAATAATAATTAATATTGTTGTTGCTGCTGTTGTTGTGGTTGTTGAAAGGAGAGAGAGTGAGAGAGAGAGAGAAAGAGATTAAAATAGGAAGAGAGATAGAGAAAGATAGAGAAAGATAAACAATGAAATGATATTTTTACATTAGAAAACTAACAGCATTGACAAACGCGTGTACATAGGACGTACTACATCATGCCAATGTAGAAGAAGCGAATTAATTAAGCCTAAGTTCAACAATCCAACAAAGACCTCCAGACAGCAAAAGTATTGCAGTAAAAATATCATCAATAATAATTAAAATAATCGTTATTATTATTATTATTATTATTGTTATTATTATTGTTGTTATTATGAAAGCTTCCAAGGTGAACCGTGCAAACTTCAGTTATCTGTGAATGGTGGTAGCTACATAGACATAACGGAAATGGAAAAGATTACTCTTTTTTATCATTTATTCACTACACACACACACACAAAAGTACATACACTCACAAACACACAAACACACAAACACACACACACACATGTACACTTAAGCTACTCCTCGATAAATTGAACAACACAGCCATCCTGTCTTCTTAATTTTGTTTGGGAGCAAATAAATATCGAACCGTTAACATGAAGAGAGAAAGAGAGAGAGAGAGAGAGAGAGATATAGAGAGAGAGAGA